ACACATACACACAGTGGCATACCTACCATGGTCGCAGGGGTCGCAGCTGCGACCGGGCCCATCACTGCAGGGGTCCTGACCGCAGCCACGACCCCTGCGACCGTGGGCCCCCTAGATGCCGCCCCCTCCGTGTTCCCCCCATCATAGGGGGGCCCAAGAGGTGGCGTGCTGGCCACCTAATGGACCCCCCCCCCCGGCATCAGTAGACAGCCAGCAAGGGAGCAGAGCAGAGCAGAGAGAACACAGCTCCCTCGCTGCATCTGACAGGGACTCTGCCGCCCACCGCACTAAAGCCCCATTTGTTCCCAGGGACAGATCCACACCAGCTCTCCAGGTAGGGAGGCTGGGTGGACATTTAATATTAATCATTTGTGTGTGTCTGAATGTGTATGTATTTGTAAGTGTGTGTGTGTCTGAGTGTATGTGTGTCTAAGTGTGTCTGTGTGTGTGTGTGTGTGTGTGTGTCTGTAAGTGTATGTGTCTGTAAGTGTATGTGTGTCTCAGTATGTGTATGTGTGTGTCTGTGAGTGTGTGTGTCTGAGTGTATGTGTGTGTGTCTGTAAGTGTATGTGTGTCTGAGTGTGTCTGTGAGTGTACGTGTGTATATGTCTGAGTGTGTGTATATGAGTGTATGTGTGTGTGTCTCTACATGTGTCTGTATGTATGGGTCTCTGTGTGTATGTATGTGTATCTGTGTCTGTATGTATGTGTCTGCATGTGTATCTGTTTGTCTGCATGTATGGGGGGCGGGGACATGTGGGGTAGGAGGTAGATGTATGGGGGGGCCCCAGGGCAATTTTCACACCGGGGCCCCGTGGTTTCTAGTTACGCCGCTGCATACACACACACAACACACATAGATATACTTACCCACAATAGACACATACAGAAAGTAAAATTACATATTCTAAAAAAGATATTTATTGCAATCTGCCTCAATCTCTGTAATGCTAACACAAGTATAAGAGATGTCATTCACTCTTCCCTCCTCTATGAATGAAGGAATGATATGATCTTGGAAACTTCCTTCACTGTTTAGAGGAAGGAGAGGGCTGTCATTTATAGCCCATTTTTAAACATTGAATTGGTGGAAAGGGTACTTAGATTATTAATTCCTTTACAAGCTGGTAATCATTCCTGACGTCCAAGTGAAGGTAATTTGGGCTCTAAGGACTAAATATCGGTATTAAAAGTAAATAAAGGTATAAAAGGGAAGTACAGATTTTGGTAGTAAAGGCATCAGTGAAGATCTGACTGCTTGCTTCTCAAAGTACAGAGAGATGATTGATAGAAGTCAAATGACTGCATATTAGATCAACTTAAGTTTAATGTTTACTCTCTAAAATTGGTACATGTCTCTTCACATATATTAAAAGCTCTATAAACAGATAATTTTGTTAGAAGAGGATCTGCTAAGATATATAAAATAATAAGAATTCTCATATAAACTAAACAAGACAATAAGCCAGGCATGATAAATAATGCAGATTGTATTTTTTCATTTTAACAAGCCCTTGGGGTGATTTGTGACCCAGCATCTAAATATTTTTAAATGCTATAAAATAAAATGTACTTCCCACACACAAAAAGAAATCTCAAATTAAATGTAACCATTTAAGAAAAGCCCATCACACCCCCTTGTTGGCATCAAGCAAGGATGCAAGGGTGGCACTTGCAAAGAATGCAACAGAATCATTTGCAGGTTACATTGTTCTGATTAAAGAAAGGGGTGTAGTCCAGGTGCAGTGGATGACTGGAAGATGTTACTTAATGGGAAACACAATCACATATGTGGTTAGGTAGTTTTTACATAAAAATATATAGCATATTTTTCCAAAACACTTCTTAACTCTCAAATAAAAGTATTTTGCCAAGTCTCACACCAGCACATCCACTAGCCATTAAAAATCCTCTTGGCTCTGCATAGTTGAATCTCTGAAGAACAGGGGCCTAATCTTTAGGTCCCTTGCCCAGCTAAAGATGGAATTAATCGATTTATTATTTTATCCATTGTCTTCCTGGTTATTAAGCAGACCTAGCTGAATGGAGGGGCTGATGAGTCTGATTCTCTCATTATGCACACAGCCTGCTGTCTGAAATTTGACCCTCACATTTTTCAAATAGTACAAAAAAGTACCAGGTGCAGAAATGCTGGGGGCTCTGTTTACCAATAGGCTTTCATTTGGACCAGATATAACTCACAGCTCTGTACGCTCAGAGCACTCATTACCCAGGCAGGCTGAGACCATTAGGACATTATAGCAATTTATTTCCCAAATTGCAACTCAATGTACATTTTAAAGCTGCTACTCCTCCTACTATACATTTCAAAAAGCAGACATTATTGTTTCTATCTCAAACACAGATTTAATGGTTTCCTTTATTTTTTTGTTGTTACTTTCACCCCAGCTGGTAACTTTGTACTTGCTATACTGAGAGGGGTACAGAGAAGTGTATTAACAAGAAGTAATGTGATTAGTTTCTTAAGGTATATCATGATACATTAATACTATGTGAAATTGGTATTTATTTATTGTAATTGCCGTATTATTTACTAAATAAATTGTACCACAGTGTAAGGTACAGACTAAGGGTTGTCTAAGCTAAATAGTCTGGAGAATGTATTCACTAAACAGTGAATTTTAGAGAAGAGGACGTAGAACTACGTTTAGACCAAAATAGGTGATCTGGAAAAATTCTTAACTATAGTCAAAATTAGGTTAATATTGCTTGACTTTTGCACTTCAATTTCAGGTCACCTCAAATCGTTGTTTAGTAAATAAACCCTTTTTTATGCAAAGAAGAAATTGCACACATAAACATGTACACACTCACACACACACTTATCGTGGAATTATTGTTTTCCTTATATATGCAAGTTAAATTATTACTACAAGTAAACATATGCAAGTTCGACTTTAAAAGAATACTCCAGACACCACAACAACTTCATCGGAATAAAGTTGTTATGGTGCTCAGAGTTCAAACATTGATTTGAACGCATTGTATTTGCGATTGTGTGCTTGCAATATTTTTTTTTTTTACATATTTAAAAGTTATTGAATTTTAAAATAAGCACTCATATCTAGTGTGGAAGATAAAATAATTCTGCATTGTGCCGTTAGGTTCACGTTGGTGTGAAGGCACACAATGGAGCACGTAATGTACGTAGGGATCTATGTACTATACTGCGAGCCGAGCTCCAACACATTAATAGAGTGTTTACTGATAGTACATTGTAGCGAATTGAAATCAAATGACAAAATGTACAATAAATAGCCAACATGAGGTTATAGCTTATTTAGAAAAAAATGTCAATATCAGCTATTTTAGCCTAAATGTATCCACATTTCAATTGTTAGGTGAATGAACCACCAAAATCTCCCAGATTGGTAAATTTGACAACTTTTCTAACGCTGCCATGTTGGGTTGTTTTTTTAGGACGATGTCAACTAGCTACAGTTAACTGTTAAGCAAATACAATCCAAATAGAAATTAATTTTAGATTGAATATTTGCATGTTTTCGTTTTCATTTATATTGTTTTGACGCATTTTAAAAAGTAACAGAATTTAGAACCAGTACCACATCGAAAACATTATTGAAATCACAAATATTTCTAAATGTAAAAGTAAAATAAGGAAGAAATATCAAACAATATTATAGATTATTTAGTTAATGCTCGAATCTGCTTGTATTAAAAAAAAATATATACGTAAACTCTACTATTTAACACATTATTCTTTTTTTTTTTTTTTTACCTATTCGGTTATTTATATTTTAAAAAAACAAAAACAAAAACAAAACACAAATAACCTAAATACAGTTTATTAACGACATTGCAGGCTGCAAAATAGCATTAGTATTAAAAATATAAATGTGTATAAATTATTGTGTCACTTTTATACACTCTAATGTGAATAAAGACATTACATTGGTAAATAATTTTATTTGACAAAATAAAGGATAAAAATTAAAAAATATTGTTGAGTTGATTGAGCTGGGAATATAACGCAGAGCCAAGAAAGTTACAAACTAATAGAAATAAAATAAATGACATTAAAATAAATTAATTAGTTATTGAAATAAAATTAGTTTCATTTCAGAAAACGTTTCACAAAACCTAAATATTTAATTAAGCACACATTCCAATGTGAATAAGACATCTGACTTTCGAATAGAATAAACCACAAATTAATCAGGAGTAGAAAATTGTAGAAAATAACTGTTCTGTATTAACATGTCTGTTTTCTCGATTTAAAATCTAGAATTTATTCTACTATACAGAGTTTAGGCAACTGCTGTGAGATTACTGTGTGACAAAGTCAAGATATAAAATTCGAACTTCCTCAAAACTTTACAATATGATCTTTCAACTTGTACCAGGACTTATTACAGCATAGCATTAGTTCATAGAAAATCCCCAGAACGATTTAACAATCATAATTTAGAAAACACATTGCAGAATATATAGCTTGTTAGTCAGCAGTTTCAAAATAAAAAATGGCAACACTTGATTTTTCAGATTTGTGTGTAGTCATATATCTAAGAAGTCATTAAAATTTCAGAAATATTATACTGTGGTGTAAATATTGAATTTTTTTTATTCTACAGCGAGTAAAATATTAATTGCATCTATTATACAAAAAAACAGTTTTGAAAAGAATTATTGTATTCTAGAATAGATAACCTGCAGACACAAAGCTAAGGTTATTGCTTTCAAAATGAAACAGTGTATCCTGTAAATAAGGATAATACGTAAGAGGTCACTGTTATAAGATTTGATAGGTTATTGGTGCAATAGGAGATATGCTTGCTAGGGGGTGGAGAGTAAGTATTTACTTCACTAAGGCAATAATAAATGTTGTTTGTTTAAACTGAAAAGTGACATTTATAGTTTCCTACCCCGTGGTAAGGCTTTAAAAAAAAAAAAAAAAAATGAGGACCACCCTTTTAAATATATGTTCTGAAAAAAAAAAAAAAATAGACTTATGTTCATAGCGCACATCAATGCTGATGACTTTAAAATAGAAATTTATGTGCAACTGAGATAAATTCTTCTGTATAGAACATTAAAATGTAATATGAAGTTAGATTTACGTACAAACATCTGCTACTTAGCCCCTTTTTGGACCATAGCCTTAACTACCTGATAGATCCTACAAATTACATCCTGTTGCAGAATTAAACGCTAATTATTATCTACGAGCTAGTTTTAATTTGCTCATCTGAAGTGTTTCATAATCACTTAAGACAATTTAGAAAACAGTAAGTCACAGGGGACTACCTAGACTAAACTTCAGGGATGATCTTCCCAGACCAGCAAAGTTGTATCTAAACCCTGTCTCATTACTCCCCAGTGTTCTCTTAGCTTGTGGGTGTCATTTTTTATTCATTTGGTGATTTTTATTTTACCTTCTGTGCGCCTAATAATATTTCTAGCAATCTTCCAAAGTTTCAAAGGAAACGTTTAAATAAGCCTTTCCTTAAGGGAAGTCTTAAATATTCACATCATTACATGTAGAAGCTATCCAAACCACAGAATGATTTCTGAAACACAGGGCAGACCTCTTAAAAGAAAATATATATAAATATATATATTACAAAAGTGTGTGTGTGTGTGTGTGTGTATATATATATATATCTGCTTGTGTGTATTTACGTCTATAAAACACATACATTTGTTCATTTTTAGAAAGCATTGGGACAAAAATTCACATTAAAACTCCGTTTTGCAAGTACAGCGCTTCATTGTGGATACCGATGTCTGATACAATGTAACACCTGATCGCTTTCTGATCTTCTCCCGATATCCTGGCTTTTAGTTATCGTGCGATATACAGTAATTTTCTACACAGAATTCTACGGCTTTCGGAGCAAACTCTATAATCCCATTTAGCAAAATAATAATAATAATATACATATATCACTATATACTAAATGAACAATATTACACATCTCTCCAAGAACGTTGAAAGTAAATCGTGTGCATATTTGAGATATATTACACAGGGGCTTGGAATGTTTATATATATATATATTCCTAAACACGTGCAAAGTTAAATAAACAATGTTATCAACTGATCAATTATTGTATGTAAATATTTATACAAAGTATATTGAAACAATTCTGATATGTAAACATAATACAAATGTACTGGACCACAAACAAAACTACAAGAAGGATTGTAAATTTGTCTGTATGTAAAGTCTCACACATACATTGTATAGGCACAGTATAAACATATAAACACTTATCATATATATACCTATAGCTATATAAACAGATCTGTGCATAGAAAGGATTTGAGTTTAGTCCAGGATGCATTAATCAGTATATTACACTCAGAGCTGTGTCTTTCATCTCACCTCCTGGCCTGATGATTTATGAATGAAGTATCTAGATATTCATCATTTAAACAGAGTGTAGAGGTGAAGGTGCCCCAGACAGAGACAGATTCCTTCACACATGTAAGGGACCAGCTCTCAGCCAGTCCAGCCCCTAAGATATGTACACCAGGATTTGTGATCCTCTAATATCAAAAATCCCGAACAAAATACTACAGATTAGAGTGGGATTTCTGTGGGGGGGGGGAGGGGGGTTGGGGGAGCTGGGGGCATGTGGATGGTGGGGGAGCTTCAAATTACCCCTATGGTTGTTCAAATTGATTTGGAATATACATCCCTAATTCATTTGAACAATAGAGGAGAAACTATGTAGCTTAATTTCAAACGTTCCTAATAAATACGATCAAAGGCACCCAGGACTCGAGGCTCCAATTACCAAAGTACTTCACTCTGAATTTATGAGTTCGATTTTAGGCTGGCTGTGAAAAGAGCTAAAGGGACATATTGGGGGATGTAAGGAAAAGAAGGGGGGACAATCCCTTTTAAATCTTGAAATAACAAAACCAGACCTTGTATTCTTTCCATATTGCAAATAAAGCATAGCTTTGTGTGTTTTTGAGAGCAAAGTGTGGTGACAATTAGAAAGGCATGGCAAATTTGCATACATACACGCCAACCACCAATCACAATTGGAGGTGTTTATATCATTAACCCAAGCCATTCTATTTGGTTTCTTTAACGAAATATCTTCAATTCCACAAGTCTGCCCAGAAAGCTATTTAGAATTCTGGAGTTCTGACAGTTTAAAATAATTAGGTATTTGTACTGAAACTTAGAGCTTTAAACAGAAACAACATTATCATCCCCCTATTGTTAAGTCCTTACATAATAATTTTGGGCAGTTAAAAAAAAAATAAAAGGAAAATTACACAGATTAAAGATTTTGAAAAACTCTGTCCAATTTAGTTTTGTTTAAATAATGCATTTCATAATGGTTGGACTAAGTAAAAACATTTGTATTTTCTATTCTAATTAGCTACCATTGTTCATGATTTGTTTATAATCACATTTTAAATATTTTTTGTTGACTTTACAGGAAATTCCTCAATTTATAATTCATTTATGTAAACAAACCCACAGGTTTCTTGTTTAGAGAGGGATTTTCCCACCCCCTCTATTGCCATCATCAAAGTAAAACTGACTAATTTTAATTGGAGGAGGTGTGACTTCGTTCAGCAAAATGCTTCTCAAATAAACTGGACTTTAGACTCATTGTTCTGACATCCCAAAAATGGGATCTAAAATGTAATGTTGGTAAGGACACTAAACTTGCAAAATGTAGAGACCAGAAATATAAGATAGAAACCATATTTGCTGTTTAGATGAGTTAGGTATATTTTTCTCAGCCACTATATTTGAATTTTGCACATTTATTGTCCACAAATATACATGGGATTTATTCATTATCCAGTATAAAAAGGACTTTCAATAGATAGAAAACACAACTCCAAAATTGAGACAGAGAGTGTTGATTTAAAACATTTCTCAACTCCAACTATAGTTAGAGCTTTGCTATTTTAAACAAAATTTAGCAATTTGATTCAATTCACTACAAATGTTTAATGCAAATATATAAATAAATAAACCAAAACAAAACCCAGGGTCATTTACTAAACTGAATTCAGCGATTTTAATTCCAAACTCCAAATTAATACAAATTAAATTCTAAATGGCTAGGTTTAGCATAAAACAGCTGATCCCTAGAGAAACCCATATATGACATGACTATTTTAACCTGGCTTTTGTAATTTCAAATATCATTTTCTATAAGTTTAGTGAACCACCTCAATAGGATTTAAAAGTGAACTTAAAATTTTAGATCAAAATTGAAAACTGGGGGAAAAAAATTCCACATGAGCTAGTTTGTTTATTTTGATCTAATACTTGAAATTCCCATTTTAATTCCCATTCTTTTTACTTTATTAAATAGTCCTGACATGTCTTAACTAAACTATGAATTCTCCAGAATTTATAAGGGATTTTCGAACTTCAGCTGAAAATGGCTAAATTGATAAGTAATTCACCAACATCCACATTGTATTGGATTAAAATCAGAATTGCAGAATTTAGGCTTATATAACCAAGCTATCAGGGCTATTCACAAAAATTGATCATTCAATGTAAATTTGATGTGAATTTCAAATTCAAGGTAACATGAGCCAAACTGTAAACATTCTCTAAGCCAGTGAATTGATATAGAAATATATAAAAGACGCTTAGACCGTGATAAATTATGTCAAATATTTCTTACACTTATGATTCTCTAAGCCAGCTATGCTTCCAGTTTGGTTACTCATATTTGAAATTCACTTTAAATTCTCACTATGGTCAATAACCTTCTATATCTATAGCAAAGTTGGTAAATTTTCCAGATCCTCTATTTTAACCTGAATTTTGCAATTTGGATTTCAGTTTAGCTCAGTTTGCAGTTTAGTGAATATACCCTTTGAAGAGTTTTTACATTTAAGCTATTTTGGTCTAAAATTGGAAATTTGCAGGGAATTCCCCAAAATGTACTAGTTAGGGAATAACTCAACTAGGGTTCCTTGATTATTGTTGCATTTGGAGTCAATTTATTAATTGCCAGGGTTATTCACTAAAGTACGAATCCAAAGAGAATTGATAGTGAATTTCAAATTTAAGGCCACAATAGCCAAACTCAGAAATTTCTCTAAATCAGTTATGCTTTCAGTTCATCTACTTTGGCCTAAAATTTGAAATTCACTTGAATTTACTTTGACTTCTTGATTTAGTGAATAACTCTGTGTAGTGTGACTTGTTGGAATGTCAAAGTAAATTTAACATTTTAGGTTGAAATAGCCCATTTTGAAGCATCACATTTTTCACTTTGACTATTTTGACTCAAACTGTTTTTGTTTTGTTGTTGGACAAGTCTTGCCCTGCGCGCCTTGTACAAAATAAATGAACTGATTTATGCTGGCATCACAAATAAAAGTCTTCATAATTAGGTCATTATATTTACTCTAGTACCGCATGAATTCTGCATAGTGCTGGGCAGAACATTAGTAGGCAGCTTGAGAATGCAGATTTCATAAGTATCCCAGAAAGCACCAGCTTTCTCATAACCCTACAAACACATGACAATATACAGACATGTGAATGTTTCTGTCTTGTTTTCTGGGACAGCTCTGAGTCTAACATCATGATGGTAGGCACATAATTATTGCTGCCCAGCACAATCCACAATCCATAAGAGAAATCCATTAATCACAGTGGAGTGCAGGAGATTCTTGTCATTTTTAAACTTGACTTGCGTTTACTCCTATACTCCTGGGCCGCACCATTTAACAGAAATTAAAACGCATGGCTTTCTGGGAAAATATTACCAAGGCGAAAATTGGAACCATGATGTAAGGTTACATGTTATTCTTTCCTTCTTACTCATTGGTATTGCATATTGTCAATATACAAAATTGTGACTAAATAAAGATTGTAAAAAAAAAAAAAAATAAATAAAAAAAATTTTTTTAACATGATTATTCGTCTTTGAATTATTCTAGTTGAACATGCCTAGAAATCTTTATTATCACAGACTGCATACTGAAACATAGTTGAAACATTTACTTTATTTATATATGTGAAAGCCCAACCAGTGAGTGCTGTACTAATTTGTTTGTTTTACAGTTTCACACTGCAGTCGTACACCAGTCAAAACTTTTTTATGTATGAGGTGCAGGAAGATGACATCACCCGTTAGGCTAGGATTTCCTGCTAGGTAATGTGGAGCAAGATGTGACAGGCCACCAACTATCATGGCTGAAAATTACATTTCAAACACAT